TGATGTGCTCCCCACTGTTTATCACCAGATAAACAATTCCAGCTACCTATTATACTGCAACAGCTTGAATGTCATATTCTGTTTGCTCAATCGCTTAAGACAAAGTAGGAAAAAAAAAAATACAGCCATCTTTCTTCTCTGATTCTTCCTGGCTCTGGAAAAGGCATCCAGATGGATAACTGCAGCACTCTCACTGGCTCCCAAAACCAGCCATAAACTCTGCAGTCTGAGTGGAGTTTGTATTTCATTTGTTACCGGTGCACTTGGAACCTTGTGAGGTTATATTGTTCCCAAGATAATTTATTCATATCTCTTCTAGAAATTTAAATTTCTGAAGCCCCACCTGCAATTCCCACCTGTCTTTGTGACAGAATACAGCTCCAGTAAAGACGTTAGAGAATTATTTCAGCCAAATGCATAAATATTGCAAGCGCATATCTTAACATTTTGCAGTTCTTGATGAGTCCACTTGCTAGTGCATCTTTAGAACAGTATTTACTTCATACTACAACACAAGATTATCTGTTTTTCTCATTTCCAGTGAAAAATTTCACATCTCGGATTCACCCATTCCCATCCTGGATTCTTCCAGCCCAAGTCTGAAGATGATAGAAAAAGAACCAACTGGAGGTCCTTTGCTTAAAAATGCCCCATGAGTTCTCAAAAAAAAAAAACCAAACACCCCACAAAACAAGAAACCCCAAAGAGTTAGCTTTTTCCAAAAACAGAACAGGCTATTTTTGTTACCACCTATAACACTACACCCTAACCACCTTATACTGCTGTTTTCTGCATTCTACCTTGTCCATAGACACACTCTTCTAACAAGCTGCTTGAAAGACATTCTAGATTTTTTCAGTCACAGAAAGTTGTAGATCAAGAAGCTAAAAGCCGCACTACAGCTGTGTCGAAACATTCTGCACAGCTGTATTGTTCTTGTGATTCAGCAACTGATTTTAATACTAACTAGTACCAGCAAAGATCTATGTATTGTAATGTTTGGTAAGAACAAGGACTCACAAAATACTCCTGCCTGAGAAGGTACAGTTGCTTCTATACAACACATTTAATGTTATGGCACACTCACTGGCAATTTATTGTTCACTGCTTAGATTCTCTGATTAGGGCTTGGAATGAGAAGTTGCTAAATTTACTTACCTTCTGCTACCTTTACACTTGTCCCAGTTTTATTTCTCATACTCTAAATTAGACTGCAAGCCATCAGTCAAACTTAATGGAGAATGAGTGCAGAAGAGCATATTTTTAGGAGCATCTCCAGATAAAAGAAAACCTCAGAGATTAAGATTGTAAAATAAACCATTCAGAGACTAATGTAACATCTCAACTCATTCTTCTATTTTTTTCAATCTCTCTGCCAGTTCCAGATGTTCACTGCTGGTTTGCCCTAAAGTTACTCCAAATCAGAATTAATACCATGACCCCCCATAGCAGGAAATGGGCACTACACAGAAAAGGTATGTGAAATGGCCAAGATATTTCCTTGAATCTTTAGGACTTGCTAAGCACATTAGGCTATGAAGGCAAACTTCCAGAACAGTTGAGCAGACTTTACTCCTCAAGAACAGAGTTCTCACCTTGAGGTGAGCATGAAGATACTAAAGTGAGGAAACTGCTGAAAACTATCCTTGGTGGAGTACAGGGTTTACAGCAGAAGCCCATGCAATGGACTGAGATAAGCAGCTGCCAACTGAGAACACGTCTCCTTTCTTCAGGTAAAGTCACTGTTTGCTGGTAGACCCCATAATGTGTTCGGGTCTTGCCCTGAGAGAATAAGACAAACTAACAGCTTAACAGGAAAAAAGGCTCAGAAACTGTGAAAACAAACTACAACAACCTACAAGGAGATCAAGAACCAATCTTGAAATGAACAACAGCACTGAAAAACTAAGCAAACCAACCAAAGAAATCAAAATGCTGAACATGTGAAGGAAAAAACAGAAACTGAGTTTACCTGGTCATTGTATATCTGTTTTAAAGACAACTGACTCAAGAGTCCAGAAACTTAACCTGAAACAAGTTGTACAGAATTCCAGATGCCAAAACCATCACAGCCACTCCCAGCTTTGACTCACCTTTTTACAATACGTGGAATAGGTATTTAATCAGTAGACTCAGCACGAATCTCTTACCTTTGCTTAAGATCTAAGGCTGCATGTATATACCATCAAACTTCTTTGTTCCTCCCTTCTTACATGAAACAGCCTCTTAATTATTCTTACACCAGGAAATTAAATGCTGAAGGTAGCCTTGTATGGAACATTCAACTCTCCCTTTCAATTCCAACACTGTTTGCCAAGAATCTCGAATAAAAGAAAAAAGTTTACAAACCTGATAATATTGTGTCTTCCTCTGGACACTGATTATTTTGATTTCATGTAACTGCACTTGAATCACAGAAAAGAGAATCCTCAGCAGCATGTTGCTGTCTTCTCTAATGTTGTAATACACTGTCCACATTCATCTTTTAATGAAAGTCTTAAATCAATACAGTTTTCTTAATCAAAATCCTTAAGACCAGACAACTTCTGGCACATGAGAGAAAAGCTATTCCAAAACACTAAGATTTGTTCTGCATATTAGAAGACCTACAGTTTTATTTTTTTAAGTACCATAATGAGTAGTTTCTAAATTTGAAACACATCTTCCCACCCTCAAACTCAACATCTTAACTTCCTACTTATATGGTGGCTGAAGTATTGTAAGAACAGACCCACCACACATGGAATGGTAAACAAAAAATACATTTAAGAACTATTCTCATTACATTCTTAATGGAGCTTCTTCACCATGTCTGGT